GAGGACAGCGGGCTCATGGAGTTGAAGAAGGTGAAGCTCTTGGTGGACAGCGGCGCCGGGGCCAAGCTCTTGGCGGCCCAGTTGTTGTAGGAGTAGCCGGCGGCGTACACGTCCTCGTAGGGCTGCACCAGGCCGCTGAACTGCGGCACGTAGCCGCCCTTGCACAGGTCCAACTGCTGGTTCCGCTCCCGTTTGCGCCACTTGGCTCGCCGGTTCTTGAACCAGACCTGGGGAAGCGAGCGAGCGGGGAACAACGTGAGGGCCGCGGTGGCCTGGAAGGGCACCCCCCCACCAGAGCCTTTGCCGCCCCCTCTCCCAACACCCCGTCTTTTCTTCTGCCCCAGCCGAGGTTTTCTGTAATGGTTCCTTTTCCCGTCTCCAGAAAATACGAGGCCTCCCCTCTTTCCCCGCTTTTTAAATCATCCTCCCCCACTTAAACTGATTTTCTTTTCGCAACTCGGATTCTCTTTTGTTTGAACAAATATTCGTTTTCCTTTTTCCCCTCTCAACCTGTCCGCTTACCATTTTCCTCCAAGTGGGCCACCATCTATCTTGTAAATAATTCAATCTTTTTCTTCTCCCTCAAACGCACAAAAATGTTTCTTCCCCGAAAATGACTATCTCCAGTTTTCTAGGCCAGTCTCATTGTTGAACTAGTTTGGTTTTCGTCTGTATTCGCAGTATTTAATAATTTTCCTCCTGCTCAGAATGTACATTCTGTTCACTTCTTGACTATCTAAACTTCTGCCTGTTTTTTCTTTATTTCTCCTCCTGATTTTTATTCTTTTCTAAATATTTAGTTTACCCTTTCCCCCAGGATCTGGCCGCCACTGTTTCTCTTAAATAGTCGATCCTTTCTTTTTCTCAATGCTCAACCTCTTTGCTTTTCCCTTAAATATTTAATTTCTTTCCTTCTGCCTAAATATATTGCAAATACGTTTCTCTGCAAATATTTAATTTCCGTAAGTTTACTAGTTTCTCTCTAATCTCCACCTCCATTTTCTCCTAAGAAATTTGGTAAGAAGCACTTTTCTCTGCCCAGCCTCGTCCCTCACCCATCTGCCCACGATTGGCTCTTTCACCTCCTAGCTCTTTCTCCAGCCGAGAACCCCTACCCCCCAGCTTTTCCCAGGCCCTGAGTCCATTTACCTAACCCCATCCCACCCCACCTCTACTGCCATAAACCTGGGCAGGATTTGTGAGCTCGGAATTATAGGGTGCCCGTCTGTATGCAGGGTCCCTCTGGGTCAGACCAATCTCACTGGAGAGGGCTGAAGGCAGGGCTTACAGCGCGGTCCTGTGGGTCATGTGGGACTTTGGACTGGCTTCTTGAGAAGCGCTTCCAGGGTCTGATTAAACATTTGCCACCCAGGGAAGGAACGATTCCCTTACTTCTCTTTTAAGAAAGTGTAACGTTTGCTGGGAACTGTGGGAGGTGCCAGACTACATACAGTGTGGCCTTGGGTCTGGGACCTTACAAATGAAAACCGGTAGCAGGAGGGCCACTGGCTACCAGAGTCTCACTCCACAGGACCCCAGACCTACAGTGGGAGAGGGCATTAGGCAAAGGTCCAGCTAGTGCCTGGCTGACTGGCTGGGGAAGGTTGGAAAATATTCCAAAAACAGTTTGCAGAAGGTAAACTCAGAATAAGACCACAGCCCCAGGAAGCTCCAGACCCCCAGCCCCCACCCCCACCCCAGTACCCAAGCACCTTTCAGGCCTTTCTAGGGCAATCAGGCGCGCCCTGCCTTTCCCTTTCGTTTTCTAGGGGGTGAAGCTCCCGAGGTCCTTAGCGGCAGAGAATCCCGTGCCCAATCTCAGACCCTGAGTAACTCCGGGACCTGACGGAGTTCCCTGGGGTAGGGACAGGGTCTGACAAGGGGTGCAGTGGCTCCCCCGGGGAAGGGTTAGGTGAAAGGGCTCGGAAAGTAGCAGCCCAGGGGCCTAGCTGTGGGATCTCGGATGAAAGAGGGGGAGGTCTGCGAGGTCAGAGTTAAGTCTGACCTACCGAGGGCCGCGCCAGAGGTGTCCCGCGGGTAGGGTAGCCCTGCACGCGCCCCACGCTCACCCGCACTCGCGGCTCAGTGAGGTTGGTCCACACCGCAATCTCCTCTCTCATGCTCATGTCCGGGTAGCGGTTCCTTTGGAACGTGGCCTCCAGCTCTTGCAACTGCTGGCTTGTGAAGTGAGTGCGTTGCCGCCGCTGTTTCTTCTTCTTGGCTGGGTCCTCTGCTCCGCCGCAGCCAGCGCTGCCCGTGCCACCGTCCTCGGGCCCCTTGGCTTCCCCGCCGCGCTCCTTGTCTGCAGCAGGTAGGAAGGGCGCGAGTCACCTCGGGCTAACACTATTGCACCCGGTCCCGGCTCCACCGAAGCCGGAGGGAGTGGTGGCTGCCCTCCCTCCGACCAGGGACCCTAGGAACTGTCCCCCACTGGAAAAGAGCGGGCCGGGTGCTGGTCCTTAGTAGGCACCTCAAGGTCTGGTGTGCCACCGAGAAGAGCCCAGACGCCCCAACCGGACCTGGGGTCCCGGCTAGGCGGAGCCTGCTTCCTGAAGCCCGCGCTGGCTGCGGCCTGGCTGCTCCTGTCACCAGCAAAAGCACACTGTGTTTGGAGACTCTTGCGGGTGTAAATCTTCCCGGAACATCTCTGTTTTTCTGAACTAGTACCAGAAATTTCCAACTTAAGCTAGTAGATTTGTGGGCTAAGAGCCCAGCAGCAGCTGAAACGTTGTTGCCCGAGCTGTGTCAGAGCCACAACGGCCTCGGGTCCCAAGGTCTAGAAAACCCACCAACTGCAGCCTAGATAAGACAGGTTCTGTGTAAGTGACCGTGCCTCTCTGTCTCTTTAAAGCTACAGGAGATGCGCACAGCCAATAACATTTAAATATAAAGAAAAGGAATTAAAAAAACAAAACAGAAGCCTAGAGAAGCTCATAGCTCTCCACCTAAAAACACAAAGGTCCACAAATCCTCAAAGCTAGGCAGACAGAACCAGAGCAAATGTAAATCAAGAAGTCAAAACCATTCGTGCAAACACACCCCTAAACTAAATACAAGGCCAAATGTGTATAAACCAGTCACATAGGTATTTCTCTGGGAAAAAAAATCCATGCATCATTGCAAATAAGTTTTAGACCCCTTCACAGTAACACCCTGGTAGAGATTTTCGAACCCTAGAGAAATACGTTATAGCTATACTATTTAAATTCACAAAATAAAACTGCTACAAAAGGGTTTTGAAAAAAAAAATCTCAGAGAAATGCGCCATTTTGAATTGACTTTTAAATTTTGCTCCAAGAATCATGCGGTATGTATGTATTTTAAATTCCAAAGAAATACACCTAATGAATTGTCTCAAAGGAAGCATACGATTAAAATTGTTAACCACCCCGCTGATTTGATGTAAAAAGCAATGTATAACTATGTTCTTTTTTGAATTTTAAACAAACACCACGCTTAAAACTTTTGAAAACAAAAGTACAGGCAAAGCTTTGTTTTCTAACCAAGCAAACAGACCGGCTGGGGAAAGTCACTTAGAGATGCAAAACAGAAACAAACAGACTAAATCAATGAGGCACCCAGGGCCGGGACAGCGGGCAGCCGGGTGCTCCGCGGCCACCCGGGGTTGGGACCCAACGGATTCGCAGCCACTCTGAGACAGGACAGGCCTGGAAACGGCCACAGCCGAAGCCGCCCAGTCGAAGGCTCAGCTCTTGGGTGAAAGAAAGAAAGAAAGAAAGAAAGAAAGAAAGAAAGAAAGAAAGAAAGAAAGAAAGAAAGAAGAAGAGAGAGAGAGAAAGAGAGAAAGAGAGAAAGAGAAAGAAAGGGAAAGGAAAAGGGAAAGGAAAAGGGAAAGGAAAGAAAAGAAAAAGGCAGCGCGGAATTTGTGGGGTCAGTCTAGAACCGCTCTGGCTGGACCCTTGGTGGCTCTGAGCTCGGGCGTCCACGTGGGCCGGGACCCTCCAGCAGGGTTCCTCCGGAGTCAGTCCGCGCCTCCTGGCCGGCTTGCTCTCGCTGTCCCCCGGAGCTCCGTTTGACTGACCCCTGTCTTCTAACCTGCTCTGTGCGCCTACCCCTCCTTTAGGACCCTCTCCTCCTTCTGCACCTCCCGGTTTGTCAAGGTGTCGCCCGCCTGTGTCTCTCTGGGCACTTTGTCTCGCTTTCCCCTCCATTCTCCATCTGCTGTTTGCCCTGCGCCCCAGCGGCTCCTCAGCGATCAGTTAGGGAAAACTCAACTTTTTGTTTTGTTTTGTTTTTTCCTCGCGCGTGCAATTTGCGCCTGTTCCACAGAGGCTGTCAGTCCCACTCTGGGCTTGGCGTGTGGGGACTGCTTGGAAGCGGCTTCGCGTGTGCGTGCGAGAGCGTGTGTAAATTTCCGCGTTCACCGTCAGGTCGAGACCGGGCAAAAGAAAGCTCCGGCATGCCCATGC